CATGCCATGGCACAAATTTTAACAAAAGGCATGCCCTGTGGCATGCCAAATTTTTTTGGTGTGCCAGACACCCTAGGTAGAGGGTGTGGTGCTTATTCACGGTAGATACGGTAAACTAGTTTGATTGGTCGAAATAAGTAAATAAATTGAAATTGCTTATAAAAGACTCGAAATTTATTGTAATTTAGAAATTTTGCACAAATCAATCAAAATTTATTGAAATTTTTGCATAAATCAATCGAAATTTTTGCTTTAAATCGAAATAATTTTTACGTGTCCCTGCCGAGAAGACCCGGCAGTGGGTCACCCGGTTGAAACACTATATTAAAGATTTACTTTAGTTTCGTTATAGAAAGTATAAAGAGAGTTGATTATGTATATAATTGTATATACCAGATACAGTAAAGAGGTAAAATAGATATATAATACATATATATAATCTGTCTAATTTTTATTATGCAATATACAGTAGAATTTGGTATAAAACATAAAATTTAATATGATTATACGTAACGAAAATTTTCATTTTTCAAAACAAATCTAGTGCCTTATTGGCCATTTCTCAAATAAAAAGGTGCTTACCAATAAAAGAGCCTACAATGGGCAATGTTCTAACAATGGACTCTGATGTAATGTCGATCTATACGTGGAGGGTCTTAATAGATTTAACATTAAGCTCTAAATATATCGATATGTAACAGCATAAATTTAGTCATCTGATTTTTAAGTTAACAATTTTAACGCATCCCATAACTGATATTGATATAAACCAAGTGATAGACTTATTTTGGACACGAAACCTTTGATTTAGAATTTATGCAACATAACAATGATTAAAAGATAATCTCTGCTACATTGGGTAACAATTTTCAAGTTCAACTTTATACTTACAATATTGGTTGATGTGAACAATGACAATAACAAGCCAAGCTTGTCAAGTACGTACGTAAGTACTCTGTTGATAATGATATTATGCAGATAAACTGTCAATTTCCAAAACATCATTGATCCGGCGAAGATACAATGGTCTTTTAATCTTCATTGTTCGTTTTTTTCTTTATCTCAATCAAACGTCAATAAAGTTCAATTTCAATATCTAACAGTCGTTGCCGTTGAAGATCTCTGTGCGTGTTATTTGTTGTGTTATTTGCTGATAGTGCTACAATATTGATACGGAAATACTCACATGTCACATACATTTACAACATTTCATATAAAATAATGCCTCATTTCATCCTTTATTCTATCCCAGGCTTCAATTGAAAGCCTTTATCTTCAAAAAGAGAAAGCGAAAAACACACAAAAATACGGTTAAAAGTTCTGGCGGGTATGAATAACATGAACCGTCTCAGACCACCGTTCCCTCCTAGAATGGTAGCACGTGATATTGTTACGGTTATATCCAATGAAAGTTCTGAGCGCCTTAAAGCGTTTCATGTTTATAGAATATACTTGCGTAAAAATGCAGGTTCACAAAATATCATACTCCCAAATAACATACTATCACTTGCTTCGAGTAGGTTTTGGGCTCAAGAGCCGAGGCATGTTAAAGAGATGTATCAGTACCTCGCAACGGAGGCAAATACACTCTTCAGGTATATATTTATGAAATATTAATTATTAACCTTCGTCATTATTTAATATCCTGAAATTCTCTTCGTATTTCTGCGACATAATAGGGAATCGGCTGCCAAATAGAGAGCAGGGTTGTTAATGGGTTGGGGTTGGGTTGGGTTTGTTTGTTTGAAATCAGTTTCTACCCAAATTACTGACTTAGCTTGAAATGCTAAGTCCTAGTTCACTATCAATTTTTTTCTCTAGTTTAGTAAACTGGTAGTCTAGTTTGGGTTCAAACCGGAATGTTCCGGAGTATGAGAAGGTTCTAGTTATTATTACCCACCAGAACTAGAATTAAATTGATTTCATTTAATTTGTCAAGATACGTTCTGCCCTTTATACATGTAAATATTGGCTTTTATCAGTGTCTATTTTGTGTAAATTGTTCGTCCTCAATTCAAAGAATATCTGTAAATAAATAAATAAATAAGCTGAGCCATCGTTTACTGTATTCGAATACGTGAATATAATGCGATGAATTCTATTTTAACATTGTTTTCCTAGTCGATAAAGTTTGTAACAAAAATTTTCATAAGGTGATAAGACTTATTCCTTTATTATCACCTCCTATCATTACATTATTAGTCATTGTTTCACATTACAAATCTGTTGGCCAGTATTTTTTATGCAGAATGATCTCAATTTGCTTTTTGATTTGATTCTCCAGAAGAGTTCTTTTTGATAAGGTTTTTTTTCTTGACGGTTTTTTTCTTTTTTTGGAAAGGACTGTCGACGTTTTTTTAATTCACTTTACGCCATTTTCCTGCAGGAAATTCTCACGTACATATATATGTATGTACATATGTTATTTCGTAAAAACGCAGGATTTTGTTTTCATTTCATCTGACTTAAATGTTGAAGGTCCAAAATTAATATTTGAGGGAAACACGATAATGCACTTCATTAAAGGTCTGAAGGGTTGGTTTATAAAATCTACATTATAAATAACCAATCAAATTTCGTAATTTGCGCACACGCACACACAGACATCAGGGCGATCATATTTTTCGGACAATTATGATTCTTATCGTTATCGTTATTGGACATTTGCTAGAAAAGTAATTTGCCTCCAAATGAACTCGTACATGATGTTCCACAAAATTTCCGGTCGGAATTCGGGTTATTTAGATTAGTATATACAACATTAATAAGTTTTTAGTACCAGGAGAAAAAATTTTATTGTTTTATTGTTGGCCCCACTTTTTGGTCACATGGCATCTTGAACTGTTTTTTTTCAATATACTCCACACCTGCAACACTTATTAGCGTTTCCCGAATGGATGGTTGCCCTTGTGAAATTCAACTATAAATGTACTCATTATATGTAAATAATAACAATTTGTTTTTCTTAGCATCAATGAAACCCATCTATTCCATATACAAATAATAAAGTTAGATAGGCATGTACAGTAAATCAATTCCTCGAATATCATACCCATCACGTTTCATACTCTTCGTCATAAACTTATCAACATAATTATCCGAAACTTTCCGAATTGCCCATATTATGCAAGGCGTACAAGCTTATCTTATTATGCAACTTTGCTTAACTTTGTTACGTATACAATTTTCACTTGAACTATTTGAGCAGTTTTTTACTTAATCTATTATGCAGCTTTCGTTCAATTTATTATATAATTTTTTATTTTTAGAATCAGTTTAGACGACTAAACCGATTTCAATCCTTAAGTACAAAGTTCTAGAAGTTCTAGAAGTAGGTTCACATTTAGTACGGAATCTTTAGACGACACTCTAACCTCTGTGCTCGATATAACTTTATACACATTCTAAATCGATATTTGCTCTTAAGGAGATGTCCGATGAAATCCTATAGGGCCTAATGAATTTGTCGAAATATAAATAAATCTGTTCGTTTAAAGTAGTACTTGTTTTTTTTTGAACATTAAAAATTTTACAGAAATCTGTCAAGATTGAATATGCTAAAAATTTGTTAAATCAAACCACTTAACAGTGCTGATAATGAACTAATTGTTGCACATTAGGTTATTTAAGTATTTTATTAGTATTTAAAATTACTTTGATAAAAAAAAGAATTATATTAGCATTAATATATGTTGCGCGAATAAATTGATTTTAAAAAGCTATTAGCAATTCTCAGGTAACAAAGTGGTGGCAGAAAAAATTCGCGATCAGGTGGCCTCCGACCTACCTGTTAGGAAAATCACCGTATGGCATTTTCTGACCAATTTTAAAGTATCGATTCTTATTTATAAGTAATACAATTTTTTATTATACATTAGCTTAATAAAACATTGAGATTTTTTAGAATCGAATAAATCAATTCTTCAAAGACTAAAAAAATTAACAACCAATCAGAAGATTATTAATTTAGCTGAATTCAAGCATGTGACCTTGTTCACGCAAAAATTTATAACGATATCTATAAATAAATCAAAATCTGGAATTGAAATTTCGTATAATACAAACTTTAATCATATTTTTCAAAACTAAAACCTCTCTTCAGGCAGTGATATTCCTAGCAGACGACCCAAATGGGGAGTAGACTAGGAAAACCCCTTCGACGGATAGATTGGGTTTTAAAAACGCGATTAATGTTTGTATTACACAAATTTTTGAACAAGCATTTTTTAAGTACACAGCAACTTTTATAATAACTGTGTTTATAGATTAGAACTTGATTCTTATCAAAAACTTGGTAGATGGGGTTTTTTTTTTAAATTTACCTTTTAATCGTTTTTTTTTTTTTTTATTCTGTATATTTGTAATTTAATAAATTTTTTTTTTTTTTAAATATTAAGGTGACCACTTAGGCCCTTGGCACTTTATTAGTACAAGTGGTAGGCCAATGTTA